AAATTTGTTATCTTACAAAGCAAAAATTCTGTGGTGCCCTCTTCCGTTGAAACCCTAATAAGCACATGCTTATTTTACTTAATGGTTAATCCCAGCCCTGATGATAAATCTTTCTTGATTAGGTCGATAATAAAAATTGGCTTTATGTTTGTTTTGTTTTTTATCTTGTGGATGGAATAAATATCTAAAACAAAATCTGTATAGAAATTGAAATTCAGATTGATAAATGTTGCAAAAACTTGGTGGGAGTGTTGAAAATATAAACATGTCAGCCATCATGATGTCAGCCGTCATGTACAAAATGGGCATGTTTGTATATAGACTACCACGTTCATATATAATAGTAATTTTTCTGGAGACTGAGACAATCAAATTTTAAACTCACATTATTCTTTTGACAAATCCACTATGATGTACTTTTTAAAAGTATTCTTCCTTAGTTGGAAGATTTAGCATCCAAAAATAGCACGTAGTGAGGAGCTGGGATTGCTTGGTCTAATGTTGTTGTTATGAGATTGCACAATGAAATTGGGTTTGACCTGCTACTTTTTTTCTCCGACTGGGTTAATGAAGATGGGCATGCAGTATGCTAAGAGGGAATTTTGCCCGAAATGCAACACTACAGCCTACTCTTATTTCAAGCTCCAAATGTCAAGGATTCTTTTATGTGCGCGTAAAGATGTATACATTGTACACATTTGCTGTTGCTTACCAAACCCTCCATTCTCCAAAAATGACAATACCTGGAACAAACACGTGAGCTCACTGAGCCACCTCCAAATTAACCTTTATCCTGACAATATCGGGCTATATTAAAATTATGGTGTATCTTTCCCCCGCTTAATTTATTAAAACAAATAACAATGTTATTTAATCGTTTTTAAATTGAAATAAAAAATGACGTGACACAAAATACCAGTGAACACTTATGAATGATACTTTTTTATACGACCTTAATCCTAACTGAATAGAGCCCTAGATTATATATTCAGTTTAGCAGACGACTTCATATACACCTCTAGTATGAACATGTGTGTTAAATAATTCAAGAATCAATTTTTAAAAAAGAATAAAATTTAAATATTATTGTGCATTTTTAAATAACCCCAGCCATCACTGAAAAAATTAGCAAGATGAAAAAAGTTTTAACTATTTTCCAGTTATAAAATTGTATCTGGATTATATTTATACAATTTTGAATATCTTGGATTTCACAGTGACGTCATGCATTTTTATCTAGCGGTTGGTTGTAATGGGTTGCCTAACCCCTAAAACATAGGTATAGACACCAAACTTGTCCCCTATCATGAATAGAAAGGGCATTATTGTCATTTATATGGAAAGGTGACCATTTTGTAATATAGATGGGATTTTTGAAATCTGTGGTATCGATTTCTTACATGTAGACACCATAACTGCTGGTTAATATTCTCACGTTATTGAGGAATTAGTGTTTCTTGTACGTGATATGGATTCAAGCAAAACTCTTGTCAATGCCTCCATAACTTCCCTACTTTACGATCTCCTAACAACTTCATTAAATCGTCTACAGAAGATTTAAAGCACAGTCGCACGGAATTAGTACTTAAACCAAACTTCATGATCATATTTCACCAATTCTATGGGAGCTTCACTGGCTACCTGTCAGGAAACGTGGAGAATTTAATATTTTACTGTTGACATACAAGTGTCTTCATGCCACAGCTCCGAGCTACCTCCAGAACCTGATACAAATAAAATCCCATCAAAGAACAACCAGGTCGTCAAATATTCAACAACTTTCAATCAAGAACAAATTTCATAACATGTGGTGATTGGGCGTTCTCTGTAGTAGCCCCAGTCCTTTGGAACAAGCTACCTCAATATGTGAAACAAGAAGGAACTATTCTCGAATTAAAAAAACCCTCAAGATTCATCTCTTTACTTCAATATAACATCAATTTCTGTGATAGACAACTCAGCACCATTGAGCAGTTTACTGGATAACAGACGCTATATAAATACATTATTATTATTATATAAATATAGCACCATTACACCATAATTCGATGAAAATCGGACTGAAACTTCCTGTCAAAAAGTGTGTAATTCCATGGTTGTGGACCCTCTAGAGGCCACAATTTTTGTCCGTTTTAGATGAAATTTAAAATGCATGTTGAGTATCAAAGGTTCTTGGTGTGCACCGGACCTTCTGCTCCGTTTTGGTGTTATATCATGTACATTGATTGTGATTTATCCACAGTAATACACACAGGACTGGAGAATATGGATGCTACATATTAAACAATGTATATTTTGATCATTGTTCTTTGTCCCCAATATGGGCTAAGTTCTCTAAAACCCGTGTTCCTGAAGCAACTACTGCGAGTTTTACAACATCTAGATGTTGCTAGACTGGTTCGCAATTCCCAATCAGAGGTTGTGACACAAACACACTCAAATCAAACATGGCAAAATCCACAGAAACCTTGACATTGAATGAACCGTGAACTCTGCAACTTGAGCATCACAGGTAGACATTTTAGCTGGAAAGTGCAAGACTTGGTATTCGCGATAATCAAGGAATCTGATAGGTCCCCAGCTGGGTTGGGAACCAATCGAAATTAATGCCGAAATATGCATGGTATTACTTGAAGGGCTTAATAAGATGTACAGAGTTAAAGCAAGATCAAGCCTTCTATTGAAGATGCCAAAATCTATGCAATAGCTATGACCAATAAAGGACAATGAGAGGATAAGTCCTTTTGATTTTCCTTGTTCTCAGTCCATCTCTTGCAAAATGTGGGCGAATCTTGCATGGCAACTGCGTGTACTCTATTCTGTTACTAAAGGCCGCTAAACAATTATTAGTCTGACTTAAAGATACATTATGGGAGATTCTATAACGAGTTGGCAGTTCTCACTAGAACTAGATAAAAACTAGATAATGTAAGGGCAATTATCTGAAAATTTCATTCAAATTGATCCAATATGAACCGAGAACTAAGCGGTTGAATTTTCCGGCAGCCTTGATCATCATTACTAAAGTCAGTACGATAAACAGCATAGTCTCGATTATCCATTTAATCGTTAAATCGTGAAGGAAAGTTATTCAGTAAATCGGCTCATAATCCAATAAGGATCGCAGGCTAGCGATGCCATCTAGAGCTGATTATGGTCTGGATAGGTTAATTAATGTCTAATTAATAATTTAGATAACATTTGAGGCCTAAAGAAAGACCTGCAATAGGCAGATTTAGCTCTTGTATAATGTATGTTTAACTCATGATCAATAACAAGATATATTTTCTAAACAGTGTTTATGACAATTTTTAGCATTATCCAAATCTTGTATATATTTTAAATTTAATTTGTATTTATCAAGTTTTAACTAATTTTAAGGTGAAAATCTTTGAAATTTTTTTACGTAAATTAATTGGCTAAAAGTCAATTTCACTGCCAGTCAGATTCAGGTCCTCTTTGATCTATATCTACGTTTACCTAGTATATTAAAATAAAATTGCCCATTTCATTGGATTTGATTTATTTTTCTGGAATGGCAGACTGTCTTCATTGAAAATTTTCTGTCTAAATGTTAACCCATTTTTATTTCCGGGTTACATCTTATGAACTGTTCAAGATATCTTTAAACATCAACCTATTACAGTAATTCGTTTTGTGCTTTGTGCTGATTAGAACTTTTTCAGATTTATTTCATGCACATACACCACTGAAGTTTTAAATTTTGTTTGTTTTGTTGACGTTCATATTACATTTGCCATTGTTTGCCAATAGTGTTAATATTAAAAAAAATAGTTAAATTTACCCCAAAATGGAAGCTCATCATGTTGAGTTTCTGGCATTCTGCAATAATGCTTTATTACTTATTATGTTAAATATAAGATTTTAGTCAAATTTTAATTATTTGAATTACAAGGGATTTAGGTAGTAATTTAGAAGAATGGAACAATAAATGTAGATTGGATAATACAACATATACTTATGGAAAACAGCCACAAATATATTTAGCTGGCATTTTGAAGAGTATCATGTGGACGTATTATGTTGTTACCACTGTCAGTCCGTTCACATTTTGTATCTGAACACTCAACAGGTCACAATTTTATACATTTTGATTGAATTTGATATACAGTTTTATATTCCAAAGATCTCGGTTCCTTTTGATATTGGCATGCATCGAACCAAAACTTTATGGATTATTTCCCCTGATTATGCGTAAAATCACATTTTTAGCTTGTTGGTGGATCTTCTAGAGTTGACAATTTTTATACACCCACATTTACACGTTTGGGTATTATACCGCCTCCCCAGCCCATGCTGGAGTTATGCCCACTACCTTTTATACAAAATGTGAAATATGTAGAAAGTTTGTGGGCACTCCAGCGGACACCTTTTATACAAAATGTGAAATATGTAGAAAGTTTGTGGGCACTCCAGCGGACACAATTTTGTCAGATTTAGATGAAACCTAAAATATGTGTTAAGGATCAAAGGTTCTCTGATGACTTGGGCGGAATATGTAAAAAGTTTGTGGACCTCCGGAAGCCACAATTTTGGACTGATGCAGATGAGACTGAAACTGTGTGTTAATAATCAAAAGATCTTTGATGAGATTGACTTTGGTGTTCATCGGCCCTTCCAATCCATAGTTATTCCCCCTTTTCGAAAGCCTTGCGAACATTATAAAGGCTGTACTTTTCAACAATTTTTTTTCAAATTTGATTTAAAGCATTGGGTCATTAGAGGAGAAACTCTATCAATAATCAGTTTTCAGTAACCTTTTGTTCCAGAGTTATGCCCTCTTAGCTGAATACTTTGTGAATGCGATAGAGGCTACAGGTTCAAATCAATCTTTCTCAGATTTGGTGTGAAGTATTGGGTTAATGAGAGGTCGAACTCTGTCAATATTCAGCATTCTCCAACCAGAGTTACCTCCCTTTAGTGAAAACACCCTAAATGCTTGTTTGTTATTGTCTCTGTGAATCATCAGGTTTGTCAGCTTTTGAAGTGCAGGAAAAGACCAAAAATAACGCAGAAAATATTTTCTGCAAAGAGAAATATAAGCAGGTTAGCACAGCAGAAAGTAAAATTTATCTTCAATGGCTTTCATATTACAACATTTGCATAATCTTTTATCTCTTTCGATTTTATTATATCGCCTGATTTCAATATTAAGCTGGAGAATACTGCAACGAAAATGACAGATAATAGTTTTATATTTTACTTGAATATTCGATTGGAGGTAAGAGTCTGGTTCATGTATACTTTTATAAAATTTATAAAACCGTAGTTTACTTGAATCATCTAGTGTGGCGATGCATTCCTGGTTAATTTGATCTTTTGTACAAAGTTCTATTTGTGATAATGTTCATATATCAAAAGCGTCTTGTTGATCCAAAATATAAGAAAGCCTCACATTATTTAAAAGTAATTTTATTTCCGCTGCCCAATTTAGAGAACCATTTAAAGAATATAGAATATAGTGTATATTTTCAATATTTAAGATACATTATGGAAGATTAGATAAAGAGCTGACAGTTCTCACTATAATAGTTAATAACAAGATAATGTAAAGGGAATTTGCTGAAAATTTCAGTCAGATTGATCCCCTCTGAACCAAGATTTTAGCAATTGAATTTTTGGCCTAGCCTCGATCATCATTACTTAAGTTGGTACGATAAAAAACATAGTCTCGATTATCCATTTCATGATTAAATTATGAATGAAAGTTGAGCAGCAAATCGGATCCTAATCCAATAAATATCACAGGCTAGCGTTGACATCGAAAGTTGATTATGGTCTGGATAAGGTAATTAATGTCTAATTAATAATGTAGATAACATTTCAGGCCTAAAGAAAGACCTGCAATAGGCATGTTAAATGAATTTTTTTTGTTAAATAATTTGTACCAATATCTTATTAATCTGGTTAATGATAAATTAAAGCTAGAAACATTCCTAATTTGACCAACAAAGCAGCGACAGGGAAGTTCTTACCTACTTTTGAAATGTATCTCATAAAACCATTTTGTACTTTATCAATTGCCTTACCTTTATTAATTCCCAAACTGCAGAAGCATAATTAAAAACAGATGAAACCATTGTGTAAAATAATTAACAATAAACATTTAAATTAAAATAAAAGATTTTTGTTGAAGTTAAAAGAGCCCCCACTGCTTTCCTTCCCTGTGACGCCACATGTTTTTCTGTTTTTGAGAATTTACCATTATCACATAAAGACTCAGATATATGTATATGTATTATTGGACAATTTCAAGTTGTATTTCATGTATAAAAAATTTGAAGTTTATTGTTAGTCTACCAAGGTGAAAGATAACTAGTTTGGTTTTTCTTAATTTTTATTTTGAAATTCCAAATTTTAAAAAATTCGACAAATTTATTTGAAAGAATTTGTAAAGCTTCCAGATTTATAGGAAAGAATACAGTATCACCAGCAAAAAGTAATGGATATTTACTGATATTTTCTAGGTGTATGAAATTTGTATTATTACTAAATAAAAACTCTTAAATCATTATTGTAACATGCTTAAGGGTGAATCTTGCGTTTTGATTGGTCGATTTGACACTGTCTATTGGACAATAACACCCCTCTAAATTAGAAAAATCACTGCGTATTAATATTATGCGTACTACTTTAATGGCGATAACCACAATGGAGACAATCAATTTTGATCTCAGTACATTAGATGAAATATTTGGAGATATGCCCGAAGATGAACTTGAAAGGCCAACCCCCCTTGTCAGGTAACAGCTACAAACAACAAAATATACAAAAATCTATTACAGAAATATAAATTTTGTTTCAAAAACTACTTTTAAAAAAATGAAGTGAGAATTTTAAGTTTTTTTTGTGTGTCTATACTCATACGGCTACTATAGCAACCAGACGATAAGTGAGGCAAATCTAACATGAACAGCCAGTTACCCCGCTACGTCACGACGTTTTCATTACGTCAAAATTGATTTCTTTGGTTTTTACGTCACTAAAACCGATTTGCAGTAAGACGAATTTTAAAGTTTTCACAATAAAATAAGTTCTTTAAAAATTCTAAAAAATAGCATGTTACAATGTCGATAAACACCTCCTGTTTCGCATTTAGAGGGGTGTTATTGTCAAATAGACATGTCCTGAGATTTTACATTAGAACCCGCGATGCTAACGCAGGACATGTCTATTGGACAATAACACCCCTCTAAATGCGAAACAGGAGGTGTTTATCTCCTAATTAGATATTTAGAAATAAAAGTGGGGATAGTGATTCGCCTTGTTTAACTCTTTCAAAACTGCTAAGTGGATAAGGTGTTGGCTCGCTAGCCTGGAAGTCAGGTGTTCGATCCCTGCATTAGCAGAGAAAGTTCATCCAGATTTTCCGGCGTGGTTCCCCCTTGTCAGTGATGCAGGACGGAGGGTCTGACAAGGACAGCTGTCTAATTGTTCGGATGGGATGAAAAACCAAAGTCCCATTGGCGTGCATGTAAAAGATCCCTTGACAGTTGGAATTCAATATAAGAATAGGCCGTTGTGCCACTGTTCAGGCAAACTTTCCCTCATAGCACACTGTATGGCGTATGCCCGTCTTCATTAGCCCAGTTCGGAGCAGAACAGTAGAACATTAAACCCCATTTCATTTCATTTCATTTCTTGCAAAACTGGAAAATGGTGAAGATATATAATGTACCTTTGTGTTCTCCATTCTGTAATAATATGGTACCATTTCCCCAACACCAAAAAGAACAAAAAAATAAAACCAACCCAGATGTTGTGAAATATCATTTATTATGACTTAGATCATGAAATCACAAACTAGCAACAAAAAACAGTAACTAACATATTATAAATATATACGGTTGTATATAAAAAAATACTGTAGCGGAATGAATGACAAAAAAACAGTAACTAACATATTATAAATATATACGGTTGTATATAAAAAAATACTGTAGCGGAATGAATGACAAAAAAACAGTAACGGAATGAATGACAAAAAAACAGTAACTAACATATTATAAATATATACGGTTGTATATAAAAAAATACTGTAGCGGAATGAATGACAAAAAAACAGTAACTAACATATTATAAATATATACGGTTGTATATAAAAAAAATACTGTAGCGGAATGAATGACAAAGTTCATTATAGATTATAAGATGGAATATGAAATATAACAGTATTTAAAGATAGGTTCCCAGAAAAGTATTTATTGGGTAGTTATTTCCAATAAAAGTATGGTAATTTTGGTATATGTGGAAAGTAGAGATATCCAATCTTACTAGAAAAATACTGGATTCCCCGAAAAACACTCATGGAGCGTATACAGGACAAAAATGTAAGGGTTCCCCTAATCAACAGCCGGACGATTAGGAATTTCTGCATGCGTGATGTCAAAGGTCACATGCGAACATTGAGCGCTTGTCGCTTGATGTACAAGTTGATAAACTTTATGAAGTATAAGAGGAAAGATTGTCGATCATTTATAGAACCCCACAGGCAGGCAAGGGACAGACTGAAGGGCAGGTCTCTGATAAGTTATTTCTTAGATGCTGTTCCTTATTAAGTTACTTAGCCTGTGGGTCAGTATTATATATATATATTATCATTGTTAAATATTGTTACAGAATATAAGATTATACTAAGAGAAGTGAGTTATTGAATTATTGTATGTTCAATCGTACACCCCCAAATAGATTGAACATACAACCCATCGTCGAAGATTGGGCCATAAGTTGGTCCATAAACCCCGGATGATATATCCCTGGGAATGTCCTAGCGTCTGTTATACGGGAAAAGGAATTACATCTGTTCTTCTAGATCACACGTTTACAGTTTGGAAACCATCATTTAAGGAAGTTGTTGTAGTTTCTATTAGTAGAGATAGATTATAGCGGAAGACAGGAATGCAGTTGGAGCTGGATCGATGTGACTTGAATCTGTCAGGTGTTTTATTGGCATTGGAGTCAAGATATAAGGGTTTGTTATCGTTTATGAAGGTACATAGAAGAGTGGCATGTCCTTGTTTATCATGAACAATGAATAAAAAAAGCTTTAGATGAAATTTCGATTCAGTATTTGTTGATAGATATCTCACCTCCATAAAGAGATTGTATATCTGGACAACACCTCATTGCCTTTTGAATTCCTGGAATGTACTTTTTAACCAGATCTCAATGCTTTCTTCGATACGATCTTCACGGGGTTCTGTGATGATTTGATTCTGGGCATTGTGAGTAATGTCGTCATTCAGCACAATGTCATCATCATGTGAACTGTGGCCAATGTTGTCACCATCAGCGATATTTTGTGACACAACTGACTCCCCTTGACTGACAGTTAGATTATTGTGATTGGTTGTGTCAAGCCTAGGAGTAGAATTGGGACAGTTTAGTAGTAACTCCTCTGCAGTATCTTGTATTGGTAGATTATATTGACCGGTTGTGTTCAGCTGAGGAGTAGAAGTTGGAGGGTTTGGTAGAAACTCTGCTGCAGTACCCTCTTCAGTTCTTCTACAAATATCCATTCTGTTCAAATCTGAAATAATTAGAAAAAAATTAAACACATTGTTTTCTAGATAATATAACTACAAAAAAAATAAGTTACCGTGACTTAGAAAGGTAATGGAGGGCATTTTATTCTTGATCAGGTTAATAATTAAAATTTGGCTTTATGTTTGTTTTTATCATGTGGATGGCGTAATTATCTAAACCAAATTTTTACAAAATATGCATAGAAATTGAAATTCAGACCGATATGTTGCAAACAGTGTAGAAACTCAGTCAGCCAGCATATATAGACGACCGTTCATGTACGAGAAGGGTAACATTTTTTTGGCCCACCTTGTATAATAGTATCTTTTCTAGAAACTTAAGCAATCAAATTTTGAACTCCATTATTCCTTTGACAAATCTGCTTAAGGTATGATGTTCTTTATTTCCTTTTGTAAGGTACTTTTTAAAGTTATCTTTCTCTGTCTTAAAACTACTTACCTTGGAAGATGTGAGCCGACATGGCGAACGAATCCGGAGCAGTTATTGGCTCTTTGAGACACGTCACTGAGAATAACATGGTGTGAGCTATGCCAGTAAATTCCGGTATATTTGTTTATATACTCTATGATGTTGTAGAGCGTGTTGACATTTTTCACAAAGTTAAAAGTTACTTCATATAGATCTCATCATATTGTGAGTGTGTGCAGTTACTGAGCCCTTTGAATAAAAAAATGACATGACACAAAATACCAGGGAACATTTATTATTATTTATGACCTAATCGAATAAATCCCTAGGCTCTATATTCAGTTTAGCAGACGACTTCATATACACCTCTGGTATGAACATGAGTGTAAAATTACTCATGTACAACCATTTGTTGAAAATGTGCAGGCTATTCACTGAAAAAATTTACAAGATGAAAAAACTTTTTTAGTTTCTAGTTACAATATTAACATCAGTGTGAAATTTGATATTGTGTGCCAACATAGATAGCACATTCCTCCCACAACCAAAAAATATTGAAATACAATACACTTATAAAGATAAGATTCAAGCTACGTCTACACTAGCAGCATTCACCGTCTACACTAGCCTTTTAAATCCCGGTTTTTTCCTAAAAGCCGGCTTTTTCAATTTCTCAATCGTAAAAGCCGGCTTTTTAAAATCCGGCAATTATTGAGGGATTTTTCAAAATCAAAAAGCCGGCTTTTTCAAAAAACCGGCAATTTTATGTGTGTAGACGGTAAATCCGGGATTTATCAAGTACCCGGATGTCATTCGTCCCGAGCTTCCGTACATTCATAACATTGGCATTGCTTCCGGTTCTAAGAAATTGCGGTAAATATCAAATCCATCTATAGCCTAGCCTATTTAATTTCAACATGCCTAACCTAAAATGGGTTAACGAGGAGTGCTTATTGAAATTTTGAAAAAGTTACACATGTACGGTACCTCAAATGTTCTCTTTCCCATACGGAAGTTTTCTAACCACTTTCTGTCAGACCAGTTGTTCATATAATTATCCCATAAATCCGAGGAGGTAGGGTATTTCCATATTCTCCCAGCTCTGCCATCAGGTAAACTCTCGATCATAGCCATGAAGGGTGTTAGCCGAAAGTGTCTTCGACGGATATACAATCGCAATCGTCTTGCACGTCGTTTTCTCGCCCTCTTCCGTAAGTCTGTCAGCGATCTGCTATATTCCATAAGCTGGATATATAATTGCACCAAAGTAACCAAAGTAATCATTATTATTATATTATTATCTCTGCAAAATTGACTGAAGCCGATGGCGTAATAAATAAACCGGAAGTTCCACAAATAACGAAGGTCGGTGTTCATCGTGAAAAAGCCGGGTTTTGAAAAAACCGGGTTTTTAAAAAGCCGGCTTTTTCAAGCCTAGTGTAGACGAAGCTTTAGTGGGTCTATGGCCATGTGTTTTATAATAATGAGACAGTAGCTATAGGTGTTGACAGCATTAGAGATCTTACTGCAGCTCCATTGGAGCCAGAATTTTGGCTTGTGTGTAGGACTGTTATAGAGTTGTATCTGGATTATATTTATTCTTTTTTGTGTATATAACATTGTCTAAATGTTCGTAAGAGTAGGCTAATTTTTGCCCCATAGCACTGTGTGTCGTATATCAGCCTTCATTAGCCCATCTGGTGCAGAAAAATAAGACATTACACTCTAAATTTTATATGCCCATATTTTCATGTGGACTTATTATGTTATCGTCCCTGTCCGTCTAGATGTCCATTCATATTTTGTTTGTGGATACTGTACAGTTCACAATTTTTCTCTGAATTTGACGAAACTTGAAATATAGGTTTTTATCCCCAAGATCCCGGTTCCATTTCATATTGGCATGTTTGTGACCATAAGTTCATGGATTCTGGCCCCAGATTTTAAGAAAAGTCATGTTTTTAGATTGTGGAGCCTCTAAGTGGTCACAATTTATATTATATGTCCACATTTAACAAGACATTGCCAATGCCTAATTGAAGTAATTGCTTAATCATGTTGCGTCACATTACTTTCAGTCTGAATTGAAATAATTACCGAAATTCAATATATTTACGAATTTTAAAACTTACTTTTTGAACTAAATAAGTAGGTTGATTTCTGCTCTGCCTAATATGTTTTCTTGATATTATCTCTTGCAAAATGTGGTTGTATCCTGCATGACAACTGCTTGTACTCTATAGTTACTAAAGGCCGCTAAACAGTTATTAGTCTGACTTAGATTTTAGGTGGATACACTGTCACGTATCAAAATGATAGTGTGAAATCAGTGAGAATTATTGTAAACTTCAACTGGCCTTAATTTTAAGACAGTCTATGTTGTAAAACGTCTTAAACTCTCTATATGCCATTGATCATACTTGTCGCTTTATTAAATTTTTAAAATGTTTTTCTTCAGCAATCTGTGATATTTTACCTGGCTGTTTTACTAAAAGAAGAGAAATCTGAAAATTTGCAGGGCATCTATCCTTTATTTATCGTAAGTTTTATGATCTATTTGCAATTTATTCATAGATATTGCCAAGATATGAGATGGTTTTTTGTCTTTAAATATTCTTGGAAGAATTCTTATACTATGTTTAGATGAAATAAAATAATTTTCAGAGAATCTTATTGAGGTAATTACAATAACCTAGAATGTTATTGAGTAAACATTGGCGTGCACGTAAAAGATCCCTTGGCAGTTGGAATTCGATATAAGAGTAGGCCGTAGTGCCGCTGTCCGGGCAAAAATTTCCCTCATAGCACACTGTATGGCGTATGCCCGTCTTCATTAGCCCAGGTTAGGAGCAGAACAGTAGGACGTTAAACTCCATTTCATTTCATTTCATTTCGTTATTGAGTAAATTACAATAACCTAGGGCAGTGGTTCTCAACCTTTCTTTGCCAACGGCATACCTTGGAACACATGAAAAAATTGCGGCACACCTGGCTAAATATATATGCAAAATATTTGAATTTGCGAAATGGTAAGTCAGACGACATTCAGAGACTAGTTATAGACACATAGAATGACTCAAACTAAATACAGAAAAACACAGCTATGAACTTATCAGTAGACACCAGTGAATACTCAATTGGGATCATGTGGTTTTTCGCATTTTCTTAGGGTGCCGTTCAAAATTTCGCGGCACACTTAGGAAGATCTTTCGGCACACTGGTTGAGAATCACTGACCTAGGGTCAAGCGATATAGTGGATTATTGCAATATTTTTTTTATGGTAAAAAGGTCTAATCAATAATATTAAATAATGAGTGTAATTGATCTGTTTCAATTATTGCCAGTCGAGTCCTAGCCAATATTGAGATGATGTAAGACCTATTTTGTGTTCAACAGTCAAAAACAAAGCTTAAATTTGTATCAGTTGTCCAACTTAAAGATACATTATGGGAGATTCGATAACAAGTTGGCAGTTCTCACTATAATAGTTAAAAACTAGATAATGTAAAAGCAATTTGCCAAAAATTTCAATCAAATTGATCCAGTATGAACCGAGAACTAAGTGATTGAAATTTCCGCTTACACGCGATCATCATTACTAAAGTCAGTACGATAAACAGCATAGTCTTGATTATCCATTTAATCGTTAAATCGTGAAGGAAAGTTATGCAGTAAATCAGCTCATAATCCACTAAAGATCGCAGGTTAATTAATGTCTAATTAATAATTTAGATAACATTTCAGGCCTAAAGAAAAACCTGCAATAGACAGATTTAGCTCTTGCATAATGTATGTTTAATGGTAGAATCCTTGCCCTTTCTATCACAAATCGAAATCATATATCTAATAACCCAATTCAAACTTTAACCTCAGAAAGGTTTAGCTCCTTTAAATAGAAGTTGATAAGTTTTTGTTTCAATTCAGATTTATCTATTTTCAGCATTCGTGGCCAAAATTATGCATACTGAAACAGATCTATAGTGTTACTCAGAGAAAACTGATTATGACTTCCCCTACTGCCAAACTAAAAGAATCCTAGTACATATACAATCCTAGATTTTTATTTACTTTTAATATATTTTCATCTGATTAAGTCAAAATGTATCAGAGTTTTTAAAAAGAGATGTTTTAATACTATTTAGCAAATTATTATAGAGTTATATGCCCTTTATTTCCAGATTTTTTTTGATGTAATCAACACAATGATCGCTCTTTTTTTTTATTTTTATAAATATAGTTAAAACTAAATGTTTTTATTTCATATATTTTGATAGTTTCTTCATTAACATCTGGAGTTTAAAAAAATTCCCTTAACAACCACTTTGACAGCCATTTATTTAAATATTTGGCTACCAGTACTCTCTGCCAGTCAATGAGAAGTCATCCTAGATATCCCCAGTGGTTTCATTCCGTTTTACTCCACTAACCCCTGGGTTATTCTATGAGGGGGACACGTTTTTAAGTTATCCACCCTTGATGATTGTGCTATTTTTATTGATTTTAGCTACAATCAAGGCCAGGGGAGATAATTTGAAATCGTGGAAACCCTATAGATTAACCCAGGGTATAGTGAAGTAGAACGGAATGAGAACACTGGGGATACCGAGGATGATGAGAAGTAGGCTGTAATTGGTCGATAAAAAAGGCATTGTCTATAACAATTTTTCCTAAATTTATAATGGTAATTTTTCAAGGCAGTATTACATTTTTGTAGCCAACTATTAATAGTATTCTGTCATGGGACGACAGGCAATTCATAGTGTCAGATCTTAATCTGGATAATTCAGATAAACAAACAGCATCTAAGATTTTGTTTAAAGCAGTAGTAGTATCATGTGTTGCTGTACTGTAAGATCTTAATCTAGATAATTCAGATAAACAAACAGCATCTAAGATTTTGTTTAAAGCTGTAGTAGTATCATGTATTGCTGTACTGTAAGATCTTAATCTAGATAATTCAGATAAACAAACAGCATCTAAGATTTTGTTTTAAAGAAGTAGTAGTATCATGTATTGCTGTTAACAACCAGCCATTCTGAAGTTGCCAAAGAAATGGAAATGTGGGCAAATAGTCTGAAGCGTTTCATCTATGCAAATTGTGAGTTCAATCTCACAATTTATTGTACATGTACATGAAAATTCAATATGGCGGAATATTTAGAGCTGTGAGATTAATATTATATTAAGATCATAAACTACAGTTTTCATCTCTCTCATAAACAATGATCATTTGGCTTTTGGCAGATATCTGTTTCCTAAGCTAGAAAAAATTTTTGTTGTCTCTTCATTATTCTTTATTTTATTCAGCTATATATCATATGTTTAAATGTAATGTTTATTTAATAGTCTATATGAACAAGAGCTTCACAATCAAATTCAAGGAGCAAATATTTATCAAACTTTTTATCGTGATTAGGTCATTGTATACTATTAGTTTGAGTTCAAAATTTGATGTCAATCTTTCATTCCATAAACTGATAAATTGTCCCTTTAAAGAATCTGCAATAATAATTATTGATGTATAATAGATGTTGATAACCATCATCGATGGGTAAAATAGAGATCTCAGAAATCATCTTTGATTTTGGCATCTCTCAATCTTCATTGGCATGTAATAGATCTTTGTAATAGATTCTGATAATCATCATTGATGTGTAATAGATCTTGATAATCATTATTGATGTGTAATAGATCTCAATAATCATTGACATGTAATACTCTTGGTAATCATTGGTGTTTAATATTTCTCATAAATCATTAGCATGTAATAAATCTTGGTAATCATCATTGGTGTGTAATAGATCTTGGTTATCATCATTGGTGTGTAATAGATCTTGGTAATCATCATTAGTGTGTAATAGATCTTGTTAATCGTCATTGGTGTGTAATAGATCTTGGTTATCATCATTAGTGTGTAATAGATCTTGGTAATCATCATTGGTGTGTAATAGATCTCAGTAATCATCATTGATATTTAGCAGATCTCAATAATTATTGTTGTTATGCACAAGATCTTGATCAGCATTATTATTCTGTAATTCTCTGTAATCATCACTGATATTTACAGATCCTGAAAATTATTGTTGATGTGTTATGGTTTGATAATCAATCCTCTACACTGTAACTCGGATATCATTTGATCTCGTGTATTTAGCACTAATTTCTTTCACATTCATTTAATATTAAATCTTTGTTTAAAAATTTGTAAAAATCATTTAAAATCACCAAAAATCATCTAATTTGTACCTGTGTCCAGTTTAAATGATTCCCGGGTTACAGTGCTAAGCAAGTAACTTGTGCAATAAAATCCAAGTAGGACAAAATTGTGTTGTGATTAAACTATGAATTTTCACCATTGTACAGGATTTGGAATTGGTATGTGACCTTAATGAAATATTGCCTCTTTAATGATTTTTATAATTTTTTACTTTTAAAAACTTTACTACATAATCTGAATTATGCATGTGACAGATTTATATTTGTATATTATATAAAATATATTTTGTGTATTGTAGATTTATTATACGTTAATTATCCATACCGGACCGATTCCAAGATAACCATGGATAGGAGGGTGCGCGGGTGGCAACGTCACATGCTGATATTGCAAAGTGAACAATAAATGTCCAGGTGGCCTCCCCCGTAAAATTTCGAAAACTAGAAGCCCGGAAATGCTATTTCCAGTGATCTGAGACAAGAATCCAGTTCTAAAATAATGAATTATAATGGGATTTTTCAGTCAGAAATCCAGATCCACTAAATCCACCCTTGGTATCTAAGATGAGCGATACGATTATCCACTGTCATCAAAAAATGATATTTAGTTTGAATCTAATCACACTTGATTGACATGATTATCCACTTTATATTAAGCCTGATTCCAGCCCGCATCAATCAAATGAAATTTGTTTTGATTGAATCTAATCACAGTCTAATCTAAGCTCATTTCAAAATCGGTTTGAATTTAATAGTATCTCACTGGGTGATATCATGTGACAAAATTTATATATATTTATTATATAAAATATATTTTGTTTATTGTCATCAATCAAATAAAATTCACTTTGAATCTAATAGCATCTCACTCAATCAGAGAGAGAGATAGAAATGGGTCAGTTCGGGACTAACATATGGTTCAATTTTATTTACATAATTCTCTTGCGTGTAGGGGTCTTTAGCAGTGGGAGGAAACTGGAGATCCCGGAGAAAACCCACGAGGTTGGACAGGCGACCCTACTCCTTGCCACATACAACCGGGGATTCGAAACCACGCCAGTCGACTCAATGACAGACTTTATGATACAGCGTGTGCACGCTAACCATTCAGCCATCCAACCCCCCTCTCACTCAATCAACATTTATGTCAAAGTCTGTTGTTCTATGTTGGTATATATGTAATTCTATGTACTGAAAAGACAATTGCCTTTTTGTATGATAATACACATTCAAATGTTGTCATAGAATCTAACTGGATTCACCACAATCCAATATATAAATTTTTCTGAGTGAATGAATTAAAAGTAATTAGTAATCCTGTTTATGAATTTGTGGAACTTTTTAAAAAAAAATTAAATTTGATTTCAATGTTCAAATGTATATCGTATTTGTATTTTAGTTTGTTTATTTTATTTAATTTGTGTACCATATTTTGTAAAGAACATGTCAGCACTTAGTCATGAAAGTGGTGAACTATAAAAACTGTTCAATAATAATAATAGTTCCAAAGATAATTTGATTTGATCTGATAATTTGTTCAATATAGCGTGATAGTATCTCACTTTATTTTATTTTCTTGTTTTATCACTTAGAGACACAGATTCTTTGATTTGGGGTAAAAAAAAAAATAAGATTGTTGATTTGATTAAATTTTATGTGTTTATTAATTATGCAAGATAAAAAATCTTCATTTGTTGAGATTTTACGTACTGGTAAAGCCCCATGACATTGTTGAGATGTAAACTCTCGATATTTCAAAGTCAAAAACAAAACTAAAAGTTTGAACACTAATGGGAATAACACATCTTGCCTCTTATCCTGGAAAAATATATTAAAGGGGTATTATTAAAGATTTAGATAAAGAGCTGACAGTTCTCGCTATAACAGTTAAAAACTAGATAATGAAAAGGGAATATGTTGAAAATTTCAGTCAATTTACTACACTCTGAGTCGAGTTATCGCTGTTACAAAAACAGTGTAGCCTCGATTGTCATTGCTACTGTTGTTACGTTAATAAACAAAGTCTTGATTATCCATTTTTACGTTAAATCAATGACTGTGAATTGTATTTAAATGATTCTTTATTTGGATCTAAATCTAGGATGTTTAGCTTCTTTTTAAATTTATGTGATTTTATCTATTTGTTATTTTACGACCAACAGTATTATTGTGTAAAAGAAAATGGTGTATAGTCTAATAATATTGTTTTTAAAAAATGTATCGAAACATGAACTTGTCCTGGTTCTTCTTCTTCTTGTCAGGCTTTATGTCTGCTTCCACTGATAAATTATTTTTGCTTTTATTTGAATATTTTCCAACATTATTAATCGCTTTTAAAACTGAGGTGAGGGAGGATCTAGGGGTAAGGGTGATGAGGGTCCCCCTACCTCTTTAAAAATCACAAGTGCCCTGTTCACTCAAAACAATTACAAACTAAAGTAAAATCATAATGGTGTTACCTCCCTTGAATTATAAGATTAGTCCGCATATGTTTGCAAGCATCGTTGGGGCAATTCTTTAAAGCTAAAGGTACCAAAGTATTAATATTTCTTTATCATAAAAAGAGAATGCAATACCGGTAGTTTATTATTGTTATCTATAAATTGTGAATATCCATAAGTCAATTCCTCCGTAGAAATTAAATAATTTAAACGATTCTATCAGATTTGACGATAAACATTTGGCCCAAAAACCTTCCCAACACTCTACAAAATAATCAAGGGTAATAACATTGCAGTAATGATATTACCAGCGATCATTTCTAGACTTAGGTTTCTTTGTCTGGCTGTTCTCAACAAAGCACGTAAATTTCAAGTTGATAACTTTTGGCGTCAGAACAGTCATAACGCATTCTCAAAGGGGACCAAGTGTGATAATTCTTGCAGAAGTTGAGTTAAAGCATTTAAAATGTGTAAGCATCTAATCCAAACAATGTACTTCGCTGTGTAGAATGTACACAATTCTTCATTTCGTCAATGTACTTCGCTGTTTAGACTGTACACGATTCTTGCGTATATTAATACTTCATTTCGTCGTATTTTCATCCCATATTTAAGTTTTTACCCAACGTGATACATACGTCTAAATGACAAGGACTGTGTACCTTTTGCGCGGTGGTGGTGGTTTGGGAGGTGTGTGTGTGGGGAGGGGGTACCCATTTTCCCATGCAAGCCCATGCTCCTGAAGCAACGACCGCGAGTTTTACAAGTGAGATCAAGTCTTCTATTGAAGATGATGCAAGCCTTGCTATCCAGCATTAGAGTGTTACCGTTAAGAGAAGGCAACTCTGTTTGGGTGAATGTGTTTTACCGTCAAGATGGGGTCAAAATTATTCTTTTGGTTGAGGAGGGTTGGATTGCCAAATGGTTAGCGCGTGTCCGTTGTATCATAAGGTCTGTCATTGATCCAAGTGGCGTGGTTTTGATTCCATGGTTGCTCTCTCTCTCTCTCTCTCTCTCTCTCTCTCGGTTGATTTTATATCATTGCTAGAAGATGGGCTTCTGCTATTGCAAGTCGTTGCTAGCAATAATAGTCAATAACTGACACCTATGAAATGGCATTTACTGTGGAGGCAGATTCTGATATTGGTTCGGGCGACGAACAAACAACTGTATAATATTATAATATCTTTATTGCATTCATCACTTTTCGTGCATAGAGCTAACTCTGAAAATATATTTAGAACTATAGGGCCTATATGTGCCACACAAACCTTTCAAAAATAATAAACTAAAATGACTAAATATTTCAATAATTGTATGCTTTTCAAGCGAATGCCTACAAGCTGAATCAAAAAAACTTGAAATTCAACATGTGTCATACAAATACAATTTTATGGCATGTTAAAAATTAAAATGTTCTGAATTACTTCACTCTACTTCAATAATTGATTTTGCTTCGAACAATTAGTTCACACAAACAATACATAAATGTATACATGTACTTTAATTCACAACCGTTTTCATATTAGGCATATCTAGTCTCGATCATGCAGACTTTGATGGACTCCAGTGCGTTGTGGATGCATACGCGTGAGAGATAAAATGGATAATAATATAATTGACTGATCACGCACGCGTTCATGCATACTATACTACATATATAAATGTGCATACTGACTATAGCTATCTCTAGAAACATCAGTGTAACACGTGGCTTGGTGTTATATGCATATATTATTTGAAATAATTTACATAAACACACAGATATCAAATATTAATAACACATTAGTTATAATTATATGGAATGGCATGAAATGCCATAATTAGGCATGGCATAAATTTAAACGAATAGACATTAAAATAATAACCACAGCATGGTCAGGGTCATTCTAATAAAGATTAGCTCGGGGTTGGGGTTAAGGTTAGGCTAATCCTTTATAATAAATACAGTATTTACGAGATACATTTATTCGTAAACAATGTGATTACGAAGTTATCTCTATTCGTAAAGACTGTTGTTACAATGTAATCTCTATTCATAAACACTGTGGTTACGATGTAACTTTTATTCGTAAACACTATTCGTAGACACTATGATTACCATGCAATCTCATTCGTAAACACTATGATTACATGATTACCATGTAATCTCATTCGTAAACACTATGATTACCATGTAATCTCATTCGTAAACACTATGATTACCATGTAATCTTTATTCGTAAACCCGTCTTCATTAGCCCAGTTCGGAGCAAAACAGTAGGACGTTAAACCCCATTTCATTTCATTATTCGTAAACACTATGGTTATCATATAATCTTTATTATTAAACACTTTGATTACCTTGAAATCTTTATTCGTAAACACTATGGTAACGAATAGCGTTGTCTTAAATATGTTAACATGTAAACTAGATAGTATAATCTTAATGCGTTATAATTTCCCAGTCTTACTTTCGTCCTTTGATTTAACTTGCCATAAGTTGATTTTGGATGGTTGCTAACTGAATCCGACTGCTATGACGCAAACTACTGGTCAAGTCTCTTTTTGACAACCTCGAATTTAATATCGACCAGGGATTCCCATAATGTTTAGTTTACTGTACTCGTTTTTCACTTAGCAATGGCTAAAGCAAATACAAAGCAGCACACATTTTCAAGATCTTTCGTTTCAAACGAGAATAAACTGGTTGATCAAATTAAGGTTTCAATTTATTGATATAATAATTATTATGATGTCCCACCACCCTAAATCCTTTGAAATTTGCTATTATAGCATGCAGAAATGAGTGCATTTTCTGATCTATGTTCAATCGGTTTCATAATAATTTATCACATCAACTGTAACAAAGAATGCTACTTTACAAGTTGATCTGTACAAAACACTATCTACAAATAATATAATTGGCTTAATTACAAGCTAAAGACCACCACTTTGTCTGTGTAACACTATATAGCATTAACATTAACATAATTAAACATTAATCATCATTCAAAACAAATAATATAGCACTACAATCATAGTACAATTATAGTATCATACATTCAAAACAAGAAGAAGAAAAACTACAAACAATAATCCTTTGATATTTTGATATTCAAATAACAATTTTGTATAATTCCCAAACTGTTATGAGCATAATATATAATACATTTATAAAAAATAATATAGCACAATAGCATAGTACATCAGTATATACAATACAATGAAATACTAATACTTATAACTAATAATAATCCTTCGCCCTTGATATTTTTGATATTCAAATAATGGCAACAATTTTGATCTTAAAATAATGGCAACAATATTGATATTCAAATAATGGCATTGCTATTGAAATTCAAATAATGGCATTACTATTGAAATTCAAATAATGGCAACAGTCTTGATAATCAAATAATGGCAACATTTTTGTATAATTCAAACTTTTATGAGCATAATATATCATACATTGATAATCATAGCATAGCACAGTATTTTAACATTAATACAATCATAATATACATTTAACAAATAAGACAAGAGAAATACTTATAGCTACTAATAATCAGGTCACAATTCTATGGAATACAATTACTGCGTATTACTGAGCGACGTTTCGACTAGGCTTCTCTAGTCATTATCAAGCTTGAAAATGACTAGAGAAGCCTAATCGAAACGTCGCTCAGTAATAAGCAGTAATTGTATTCCATAGAATTGTGACGTGTATATTTAAATAAAAATAGCAACTTTTTATGTTATACAAATAACTTGTACACATTTTCGAAATTCTTGTTATTGTTATGCTTATATAAATTGCGAATTCCATGTCCAAAAACGGGGAGAATATATCTATTATTATTATTATTATAAAGCTGAGTCACCTTGGTCAAGAAGAAAATATGTGACCCTGCAGATAATTGTAATCAAGATTACAATGTGGTTTCGGTTGGTTTTTTTCTTGACTGGTACACGACAACTCCAGAAATAATACGAAACGAATTTAACATCTTATTCTAATCAGATTGAGATAATTCACGTTTCGTATTTCATTTTTATTTTTTTCTCCGCGTATAAAAAGTGAATATAACGTGCATACAAAGAGGAACAATATAAACGACCAAAACAAAACATGTATTTTCTTGTTAAACAAACGGGAGAGATTTCCTTAAAACATGCAAAAAATCATTTTGTACTTAAAAATCACTTGATGTTACATGTTCTTTGAATTTAATTTTGCGCACCCATTAACGGCCATTGAAGAGTAAAATATTAAAACTATCAGGTTTTGTTTTTACAACAAAAGGGCTGATAGATTTTTTTCTACGGCACTGATATTTTATTATCTTTGTCATGGTGTTTCTTTAAAAAAATAAAAAAAAAATAATAATAAATCATTATGAAGAACACTCGGTGTGGCCCGAATATCACAATCATGTTGAACAAAATAAATCTATTTACAGAGAGGGTCGAACTTACTTCGTCCTGGCATCATTACCTTGGTTTGTATACAATATACATGTATTATAACATATACATCTTGGTTATCCAGTATACGTCATATTATCCCACTTGGTCCGGTAGGCACTATAACATACCTCTTGGTTATCCATGATGCCATTACTTTAGCTAAAGAAGACGTATTTTAGCAGTTTTTATTTTCTCCGTTTTAACGATTCATAATTGCTTATAAATATCAAAGTATTAGTTTAGAATAAAATAAAACGGAATTTAGTTTAAAGTCTAACTTTTATGCACCCACCGGGTTAATGCAGGGTTAGGTCTAAATATTAAGGCCACCTGCAG